TGAGGGGTTCTGGTGGGCACTGGGAGCACCCGTGAGGGGTTCTGGTGGGCACATAGGAAGAAGATTCAGACAGCATGGTAACCAAAAGCCAGCTCTACACAGGTAACATGTTATATGTGCTTCATCTCTGGGGTCTTCAACACACCCTGCGTTAAAGAGCCTTCTCCCTAGCAATGACTGTTAACTGCTAGTCTAAACACTGGGGGAGTCCCATGAACCTTAGGAGTTTCCTGAGCCTCCCTTTGTCTTCATAAGAAAATATTTCAATCTGGAAGGAAGGGCTACACAATATTACATCCCTTCACACCGTAATTTCTTTCAGCTCACTCTTCCTTAATGTTTCTTGAGGCACATATAGGGTGATAGAAATGTCAACAGAACAGGCTACAGCAAAAGATACATATTTTCTGTTGTTTGACTGGTTATGAGTCTCCACTGTAACCACTGCCTACTAAGACTACTACAAAAAAACAAACAACAACAACAAAACAAACCTCTCTTTCCACAACCGTGCGTAACAGCCTCAGATGTCTATGGGTATAAACAGAAATGTTTAGAAGGTGACTTATACAACATCCACTTAACAACAACAATAGACTTTCTAGAGTCTATGACTGTAAGAAACTTGAGAGTTGGCTCAGGACACCCAAGGACCAAGTTCTCAGCACAAAGATTTATTTGCTTCAGAGGGACAAAGGGCAGGGAATAAGAGACAAAGACAGAGCCAGGCAGTGGTGGCATTTGCCTTTAATCCCAGTAGTTGGGAGGCAGAGGCAGGTGGATTTCTGAGTTTGAGGCCAGCCTAGTCTACAGAGTGAGTTCCAGGACAGCCAGGGCTATACAGAGAAACCCTATCTCGAAAGAGAGAGAGAGAGAGAGAGAGAGAGAGAGAGAGAGAGAGAGAGAGAAGAGAGAGAACTGGGGAGAAGGGGAAGGGAACAGAGGACTGGAAAGAAAGGGGGCAAAGGGCAAGGGGAGGGGTAATGGGTATCTGTCCCAGTGGGAGGGGGGGATGGGACAAAGGACTGCCTTTGGATAGAGAGGAGACAGACATGGCCCACAGGCAAATGGCAGTTTATAAAGGTAAAAGGAGAAACCCTGTGTTAGGATGAGGTGTTTAATTGTAATCAGACTTGTTAATTAGGTGAGCCAAAGGGGGCTTTTGATTACTGGACTTCAATATGAACTTCAATACTTGGATAACTGGACCTTGGTAGTCAGCCTCAGAAGGAGGAAGTGGCCAAATAAGGAACTAGACCTTGGTGGCTAGTTTTAGAAATGTAATCTAATGGTTTTTAGCAAGGCAGAAAGAATGGGGGAGAAGGGCAAGGCCAGCCAGAGCCATGTTTGCCATGCTTGAGCTAGCCAGAGTCCCTTCAATGACTGATCCAGTCAACCTTTCCAGCCAGATACTGCCAGATGTGAGTTCTCTCTTGTGAAGTATGTCTTAAATACAATCAGAAAATGTAAATAACAACTGTGGCACTATCACATTGTCCAGTTAGGGTTACTATTGCTGTGACAAAATGCCATGACCAAAAGCAACTAGAGGGGGAAAGAGTTTATTTGGCTTACATATCATAGTCCATTGAGGGAAGCCAAGGCAGGAAATCCACTGATGTGGCTGGAACCGGGAGGCAGGGGCTGATGCAGAGGCCATGGAGGAATGCTGCTTACAGACTTGCTCCCTATGGCTTGCTCAGTCTGCTTTCATCTAGATTCCAGGACCACCAGCCCAGGGATGGGGCCATCCATAACGGGTTGGACTCTCCTCCATCAATCACTAATTAAGAAAATGCCTCATAGGCTTGTCGGCCTACAGCCTAATCTCATGGAGGCATTTTCTCAGTAGAGGTTCTCTCCTCTCAGATGACTACAGCTTGTGTCAAGTTGACATAGCACTAGCCAGCATACCATCAAGTCTATCTTGATTTTTAGATTATAGAATTATTGTTAACAATAATCCTTGCCGGGCGATGGTGGCGCACGTCTTTAATCTCAGCACTTGGGAGGCAGAGGCAGGCGGATTTCTGAGTTCGAGGCTAGCCTGGTCTACCGAGTGAGTTCCAGGACAGCCAGGGCCACACAGAGAAACCCTGTCTCGAAAAAAAAATAATAATCCTCCAGCAGCCTGCATAGCAGTTTGGCTCTGGAAATGAAATCTAGAAGGGAGGGAGTTTTTAACTTAGTCTCAGCCTTATTCTCCATGTTCTGTAATGAAACCATCCAGCATAGCCATCCGTGGTGGCTTGCCATCACTTCTGTCACCCAACAAACAGCAATCACAATAGCCTATTTCTTAAAAACATTCTTAGATTATCTATTTTTATGGCATTGTTTTGCCTTCATGTATGTACGTGTACCGTATGTGTGTCTGGTGTCTCAGAGGTCAGAAAAAGTTGTGAGCTGCATTATGGGTACTAATACAGAACCCAGGTCCTCTGTAAGAACAAGTGCTCTTAACACCTAAGCCATCTCTCCAGTTCCTAATACCTGTCTTGCATAGGAAATGAGACTTCCCTAGCCAACAACTTTTAGGAAGATAAGCCATTCCTCACACTGGGGTCTTTACTCAATAACCGTGTGGCTACTGGCAGTGTCTTTTTCACCCACACAGGTACCTTCATTGAAGTTATTTTACTTCTTTTGTCCTTGTTCTTCCAGATACTTAAAAAAAAATTAAGACACTCAAATGCAGATCTATTTGACAAAGCTTTGCCCACAGCAGATGTGCAAGGCCTCTGAAGGTTCACCGCCATCCTTCTAAGAAAGTTTCAATAAATAAATAAATCATACATACATACATACATGCATACATACATACATGCATACATACATTCCAGTACCCTTTACATGAGTCAACAACTAAGTCAGTTATTCAAACATTTCATATGGTTTAAGACAACGTAAAAATACCTTATTGCAGCTAGGTGTGGTGGTGCACGCCTTTAATCCCAGAAGTCAGGAGGCAGAATCAGAAGCTGTGAGTTCAAGGCCAGCCTCGTCTACACAGTGAGTTTTGGACAGCCAGGACTATTACACAGAAAAACCATGTCTCAAAAACAAAAACTCAACAACAAAAACAAACAAATAAACAAAACACCTCATTGCTTTTTATCAATTGTTTGCTCAAAAGAGCAATGTTGAGTTTAGTAGCAGAAGTGTGTGTGTGTGTGTGTGTGTGTGTGTGTGTGTGTGTGTGTGTGTTGCAGGACCTCTCCTGGGGCTACCTTGCATCTCTACCCCTATCAAACTCAGCATGGCTGTCTTGAGCTACCTGCCAGGATACAACTTGAAGGCCTTCCAGAAGCTCACAAACATAGCTTCTTTTTGGTCAACATTTTCGTTACATGTTCCAACTTAACACAAGTCCTTCCATATTTATATTCAACCAATCAAGACAGTCTCTTATCTGATTTCCCTTTCCTTGATCATTTCCTGATTTCTTTATGATTCTCATTTACAAGCCAGTTTAAACCATTCAGATCCACCAAAACCTCTTCTAGCGTGTAAAGATCATGACCTACCAGGGTGCCCAGGAAAGCTACTGAAGCCCCATACTGTCCATAAGGGCTCTGCTGACTTAACTTGTTTCTTAAGTCTTTGGAAAACAGTCCTATTAGTGGGGCATCCAGCACCAAGAGAGTCATGACAAGTTTTTCTATGATCATTTCTATTGAGGCGGTAAGCATAGAGAACAGCTTACCAACGTGAGACTCCACTTGGCTTGGACTACACATACGTCTTCCTTCTAACAATGCCCTTGACGATGTGGGACCCGCACCTGCATGTACTCTGCATGTTTGTCCTCTCCTAACAACAAATGTGGCAACCTAACACCCCTACTCCCATTGGGATGAATATATTCCTCACTCTAAGTGATACAATAAATTCCAATACCCCTAACATTTGCTAATGAGTTCACTTTTGTGGATACGTCCCACTGTGGTATATCCTGAGATATCGCCTGTATAAGGGAGAGGGTGTCAATACAGCCTAGAGTGGTTTTGGGTACACGTATAGGAAGACAAACAATGTCATGTAAGTGAACTTTTAGAGATAAACTCTCTAATTACATAATTGATTGTGTATGTCTAAAATCAGATGCATCATGGGAAGGGCTGTACACAGTCGAGACAAGGTTATATAGTTCCAAACTGTCAAGTAGAAAACCACTGCTTTTATAAGTATGTTTAGCCCTTGATAAATGTCAGCTGCCAAAGCATTGTCAATAGGCAAAATGCTACGAAGTTTCACATTGTGAAAATGTTAACTTACATTTTATAGGTTTTGTCATTGTAAACAAGAAAACAATTTAGAAGAATCTAAATTCACATCCATGATCAATGAGATTAGAGAGAGCACACTGTGGGTGCAGTATTCTTAAGGCTCCCGTGAGAGTGTCAAGGCCCACTGGGAGCTGCCACTTTGACCCCACCTGTAAAAATATGAGCAGAAAACAGAGGGTTAAAGTTTTCTCTTGTCACTACTGGAAACAAAAGAGCTTTTCTAGAGTCTTGTCTAGAAAAGACTACATGTTTGTTTCCAGAATAATCAGAAATGAAACTAGAAAGGCTGCCAGAGTACGCACCAGACATCTATAGCTTCATCGTAAGGTACTTGCATTCTGATGCCACCCCAGCCACCCCAAGACACTTACCATTGCCATAATGAGAAAAAGAAAGAATTGTATAAAGAGGGGACAGACGTGGTGTGTGAATTCTGGGAAAATCTCTACTCATCCCCAAGAAGATGTGATTTCCCATCTCTTCTCTAGGCTACCCCGCCTTCAGTTTTATTTTATACTCTCCACTACAGATGACAGTGAGTAGAGAGGTAGATTTGGTAGCATCTCCTACTTCTGCTTTTGGCCAAGAATGCAAGTAAATCACTGCTCAACCAACACTCAGCCTTCTTATTGAACCCACAATTTCAGGATGGAAAGAGAACCCATTTTTTGGAGTTCAAACCAGCAATCAATAAAACAGGATCAGATTTTTTAGTATCACAGCTCTTGAGGAAAATGACAACAAAGAAAATGAATCCAGAAATTTGGCACAGACAAACCGGCAACTTCAGTAGAGACCTGGAATCTGCCTGGAGTTAGGGGGCATGACAACTTGAAACTAAGAACTGTGAATTCAGCACTCGGCAGAGCAAGTGGGTGCTGAGGCTGCTTTCAGCATCAAGAAAGCACAAGACCTTTGCACTCTCCCTGCTTTGCTTAGAAATCCCAAACTCCCCCAAGGGGGTTATCCCCACACTAATCATCAACTCCAGGTCATTAGAAACTCAGGCCAGAAAGAATTTATCACCCCCCAGGAGGAAGGGAGGCCTGGTTGGCCAGCTTCTTCCAGATGGATTCTGTCCCAGTCTGGAAGGAGTTTGCCTGGACGCTTCCACTCTGGAAACTGAGGCTGAGGGCCAGACTGCAAGGGCTGAGGATGGACAGGCACTGAAGTCTGTCCTCAGCCCACATCTCTGGGAATATCCTCCACTCCACTGAACCGTGCACAAGGACACGGATGTGTGGGCTATCCTAATCTACCCAAGCTCACTTCAGTCAGATCCTTCCCAGATGAATGAGTTGGCAAAGCAAGCTGCTTGGTCATACAGGAGAGATCTGGAAGGTGTGTGCCCCAAAGCTAGCCAAACTTACTGAAGACCGAACTAGAACCACATGTTGCCACAAGGTCACCACAATCCTGTACCTAGTTCATGGTGGGAGTGTTGCTGCTCTGGTTGCTGATCCGTGATCCCTCTGGATTTCCATCTTTGTTGCCAAGAGAGGTTATGTAAGAATGTTATGTAAGCCTTCTTCTTTATTTGCACCAGCTCCTGGAAAGTTGGCCCCATGTGCAGTAACACATACTTTATTTCAATGCTCTGAGATTCCCCACTGAACAGGATTGTATTTGGAGAATAAGCCTCTGCTTGTGGGTCTAGCTCTGTGAGTAGGCAGGGGTGATCCTAGCTTAGTCCACCCCCCCCCCCACACACACACAGAGCTAAATGCTACAAATACTGGCTTCACCATAGGCAGAAAGCCATGAGCTGAGGGCATAAGTGGGCCTCTGCCACAGGGACATTTTTACATAGAAGGGTGTCTTTCTAAGTGTGGGGGCCTCAGAAGACTCATGCAGCTTGGTACCATCAACATATAGCTGAGGAAGGGATGGAGAAATCAGTGAAGACCACTAGGAACCATTAGAAAAGGAGGCAAGTGCAGCCTGGGCAGGGAGAAGCCCACCAATGAAGGATCTTGTTCTGAAGATAGTAAATGTATATTCCTCCGTGTGACCAGTGAGCTCAGGGGGAGGGTCAGAATCCCTGGGCTCAACTAGCAGGGAAGCAGGAAGCAGAGGGGCCTCAGAGAGGGGCAAGAGTGCCAGGAGAGACTAATACCCCTGGAGGGGACACGGAGGTGAGGTGTAGGCCTTCCGCCATGATGGTTATGACCCCCGAGCCGTCTCAGATTCTGATTCCCTTTCAGGCTCATTCTGTGGAGGTCACAAAATTGACTAGATCTGAATGTCCCTCTTCACAGCCCAGCTTCTTGGCTCTGTGGTTTATAATTATCAAACATCCAGCTTCCAGCCAATGAGGTTTCTACCAAGGTTGCTACTTCAATAAATGGAAGGTCACAGATTAGCTTCACGATCAGTCACAAGCACGGCATTGAGTCCCATCTAGACCCTTAGCTCTGAGGAAGTAGGTGAGTATATTTGGGGGCAAGGTTGAGGTGGGGGTGTCTCTGCATTTGTCTGGAGTAACATGACCTTCTTGTTCATGTTTTCTCAAAAGTCTAAATGTTCAGAGTTCAGGGAAAATGGCTTTGTTGAAACTTGTTCTTGGAAATCCTGGATTTGCAATATGCACACTCTAGAGAAAGAGTGATCAAAGGGGCTCAACATGGAGATCTGGCTGACACAGGGTATTATCTCAGTGCTCTAAGAAATTTAGAGAGCCAGTAATAGGGCCAGGAGGGTAGAAGTGAAGGGGGCCACCAGTGCTTCTAGGGGAGTCAAGAAGGCAAGTGTTTCTTTACCATGTTCCGCAGGTGAAGAGACAGGTCCAGAGAGATTAAGTGACATGGCCAGTGTCACACATCCAGACAGGCAGAGAAAATAATATTTTAACCAGTGTGTCTGGCCTTATGCTTTCTCCCTGTGACGGTTTTTCTCTTAGGTCACACACACACACACACACACACACACACACACACACACACACGCTTAAGCAGGTTAACGGCAAGCTGGGAACTTGGCTGGGGGACTTACATGGTTTCTTTTCTCTTCTTCAGAGTTACAGGAAAACACACAGTCAGAAGTAGCTGTGTCTTTGGCCTTTGAGATCTGAGACTCAGAAGTCTGATGGCTCCTTATCGTATCAGGAAATACCAGGACAGCGACCACAGGAGTGTGGTGGATTTGTTCCGCAGAGGCATGGAGGAGCACATACCTGCCACCTTCCGCCACATGCTGCTGTTGCCTCGAACCCTCCTGTTCCTACTCGGGGTCCTTTTTGCTCTATTCTTGGTCTCAGGCTCCTGGCTTCTGGTTCTTCTGTCCATTCTTACCTTCTTTGCCGCCCTGTGGCTCCTTGCAAAATACACTTGGGAAAAGTATATGACAATGTGTTTGCACACAGACATGGCTGACATCACCGGAACCTACTTGAGTTCTCGTTACTCCTGCTTCTGGGTAGCTGAGTCTGGAGGTCAGACGGTGGGCATAGTGGCTGCTCTGCCAGTGAACGAGCCCCTCCTGCAGAAGAAGCAACTGAGGCTACGTCACCTCTCTGTGTCCTTGGAACACCGAAGAGAGGGCATAGGGAAAGCTCTGGTCAGGACTGTCCTCCAGTTTGCACAGGCTCAGGGCTTCAGTGAAGTTGTCCTCGCCACCAGCATGTTGCAGTATGCAGCCCTAGCTCTGTATCAGGGCATGGGCTTCCAGAAGACTGGCGAGACCTTCTTCACCTTTATCTCCAGACTAAGGAAATCTCCAATGATACACTTTAAGTATTGCCTCGCTTCTCCAGAAGGGGACCTTTGAGCCCTCTCCTGTGGGCATCAATCAGGATCTAATTGCTTCTGTAATAGTAACAAGCAAATCCAGCTACTTCAGGTGCAAACCACTAGCCCTTTCTCTTAAGTACATCTGAATAAATGTGTTTGGGGTTGGGGTTGGGACAATGGCTACTCTGTGTTAGCCATGCTTTCTGAGGCATCCCTTTTGCTAACACTACAGTCATGTATAAAAAGTAACACAAAATAATAAAATTTTACATAGCTTGTGAATCTTTGGCTCATCTACTGAGCTTGGCAGGACAGCTGTCAGGGTCTCAGGACACCTTGGCTTGGCTGAAGCATATTATGTCATTCTAGCAGACTGGCTCAGGCAGGGCTTGAGGTTTTTATAGAGTCACAAAAGCAAAAGCATGAGGAAGTGAAGACCTTTCTCAAACCCTGAAGGTGTCACGTGCAGAAACATCCAAGACTTGGGTGGAAACTCACCCACCTCTGTCGTAGAGGGACTGCAGTCACAGAACCAAGGGGCAGGCTGTGGCCCTGTGACTAGCCAGGCAGCATGTTCAACTGCTTCTGCACAAGGTTAGGAGAGTGGGTGGGGGTGGAGTACAGGGTGTCTTCGAGATTGTTCCCACCCTTTGGGAGCTGAGTGAACTCGGTCTTCTGGAGCAGCATGCATGCCTTGAGATAGGCTGGACATGAAGTGTTCCTGTAGCCAAGACTAGCTATAGGATCAGGAAGGTTACCGTACATAACCCCGGGCACAACTTCGTTCTGTCCACACTGCTCTGGGATACCTGATTTCCCTAAGTGCGTCTGGCCTGAATGTGCTCCTGTAAGCCTCGATGTCTTAGGATTGTGACAGTATTTTAACAGCAGTGCAAATGTTATAAAAAAAAATACCACCACCTTGTGTATTTAAAAATAGTTAACTCCAAGTATCTGCATGCCTTTAATCCCAGCACTCAGAAGGCAGAGGTGAGGCGGGGGGCTATCTATGAGTTTCAAGACCACATAGCATATTTGCTCATCTACATAGCAAATTCTAGGCCAGCAAGAGCTACATAATGAAACCTATCTTAATAATAATAATTTTTAAAATAAAATGGTTAACTTTCAACATTGTAAATGTTTTCTCCCAGTAATTGGAAAATGAAAGAAGCCTATAGAGATGTCTAAAACTCTCAAGTTCACAAGTAGTTAAAGAGATCAATGCTGTCGAGGGAGGCATATGTATGCATGCAAACACGTGTGCTTGCTCTCTCTCTCATGTGTGTGTGCATGTGCATGTGTGTGCATGTGTGCTCGTGCAAATATGCCAGAACTCAACCTCAAATGTTTTTGAGACAGTGTTTCTCACTGGCAGGAACTGGCTGGCCAGCTAGCCCCAGGATCCATTCATTCATCTTGGTTCCCCCTGCTAAGATTACAAACACAAGCCCCCACACCCAGCTTTTTTATGTAGGTTCTGGAAATCTGAGGCTTAGGGGTCAAACTCAGATCACTTTACTGGCTCAGCTGCCCAGCTCTTGCTTGAGTTCTATGCGGGGGCTGCTGCTGTGTCACCTGCAGTCACATAGGCTCAAGAAAGTGGAATGCACCATTCTAAACCTCAACTCCAGTGGTGCCAGAGGCTCTGAGGGTCTTCCTGGCCAGTTTGACACCCTGTAGAGGAACACATGATGTTTAGCACTTGTCTTAGGAACCCAAAATCTTCAGGTATGGATGGAAGGGTTGCTTCTAACAGAATCGGAGTAGGCAGAAACTCAAGCAAGCCCATGAATTTGGGGGATTCCATAGAATGGCAAAATGTAGACTTATGATTTGTACAAGGATTAGTTTATGCTCATAGAAGGTAGAAGACTGACGGTTTTCCAAAAGGCAGGAAGAAATAGGGCATGAGCCAGGATAATTTTAGAGGTTAGTGACTCGGATCCAGCAGCAAGAAACCCTGGACTGTGGCTTTCAGACCTCCTGTTCCTTCAGCTAATAATAATTTTTCTAATTTAAAGAACAAGATTTTATTCTGAAAATGGTAGACATGTAAAGACATTAATATTTCTCAGGTCAGGGCTTGTCACTGATTCCTAAGTATAGATGGAATATAACCAGCAGCGTCATGCTTCTGCCTCATGCTTTTCCTCAATCGTGGACTGTACCCTCAAACTGTGAGCCTCTCTAAGTAAAAATATTTCCTATTATGTTTTGTGTCTATGTCCTATAAATAAGACATAGTGGAAGTGAGCCACAAGGTAATAGGTTATTAGTACAGCCTATTTTTTTCAATTTGGTTTTTACTTTCTAAACACATTTATTCACCTGGGCACACACATAAGCACACTTGAGGACGTAGGTGTACACAATTGAAGTCTGCCAGCCTGGCCTCCCTCAAACTTCCTGTTTCCTGCTTGCTTTCCTCTCTTCTCATTTTAAAAATTATGGCAAATGTACATAGTACACAATGGGTTTTTTTTTTTTTAACTTTATTTATTTATTTATTATAAGTACACTGTAGCTGTCTTCAGACACCCCACAAGAGGGCATCAGATCTCATTGCAGATGGTTGTGAGCCACCATGTGGTTGCTGGGATTTGAACTCATGACCTCTGGAAGAGCAGTCAGTGCTCTTAACCACTGAGCCATCTCACCAGCCCCGCAATGGGTTTTTTTTTGTTTTTACATTTTGGGGGTAGGTTTCAAAACAGGGTTTATCTGTGTAGCCTGGCTGTTCTGGAACATGCTCTATAGACCAAACTATCCTTGAACTCACAGTGGGCTATCTGCCTGGGTCTGTAGGGATTAAAGGAGTTACCACCACCACCTGGGTTGCTTTATTTATTTTTTATTTATATATTTATTTATTTTCTCTGTGTGTATAAATATGTGTTTGTGTGGAGGTCAGAGAACAATTTGTGGGAATCAGTTCTCTCCTTCCACAGTTGTGGGTCAGGGGATCAAACTCATGCTGTCAGACTTGGTAGTACATGCCTTTCCCTGCTAAGATATTTTTTTGTAAACTTTTCAGTCCTACTATCTCTCCATTCCTTCATATCTGCCTTCTGCCTTGCAACCTCCCCACAGAAGAAAAAAAGATAGAATTTTAAAAAAATCTTGTTATGGAAGCTGTGGTATGGTATGTCACAGTGTGTCACACAGTATAGCCCCTTGCCCACACATCTTTCCTTGCAAATGTTCATTGCAATGAGTCATTGAAGGCCTCTGGCTTCTGCTACACCATCAATATTGGATCCTCATGGGGACTCCTCTCAGATATCCTGTTGTTGTCCTGTGTCATGGAGGTCCTATAGCTTTCAATCTGCAGTTCAAAGATGAGGTAGATGTTCAAGTGGGCCAACTAGAAGCCCTCAGTATGGGCCTGTGAGGCAGCTGAGTTGCTCAGCCAGCCAGCTCTCCTTTGCCCACACCACCAAGGAAAGCTCTCCGATACTGTCCAGGCTAGCTCACCCAATGCCTCAGCCAATAGAGGGAAAGGTCCGCTCCCCAATTCTCATACACTGGGGGTTTGCTCACTGGCACCTTTCCCACCAGAGCTAACTCTAATGTGCTGCCCAACTGAGGTGCAGGGCCAGCTCTTCCAAGTGGTGCAGCCGGTGAGGAGTAGGGTCAGCTCTCCAGCTCTCATGACCTTGGGACCAGTTCATCCACCTGCCTGCTGCAGGCAACAAGGGATGAGGGGGAGAAGGGCATTTTTCCCTCACCCACACCACTGCCACAACATTTTTAATTGTGTAGTTTGGTGTTACTAATTACATTTGTAGTAAAATGCAATTATCCCCACTGTCTATTTTTCATCTGTGGGCATTGTACAATAGATAACTCCAGCTCCTCCTCACTCAGCCCTTGTTAATGTCTGCTTCCTGCTACCTTTATGAATGTGCCTTGTCTGTATCCCATGTGAGTGGAATCATAGAGTTCTTGCCCTTTTGTCTTTTGTGTCTGAATTCTTTCACTTCACTTAGTGTAGTGTTTTTGAGGATCATATATGTTGTAGCAGACATCAAATTTTTCTTCTGGATGTGTGTGTGTATATAGGTGTATGTGTGTGTGTTACTGTGGATTAAATATAGACCCTGGTACAAGCCTGTCATGTACATGTAGCCACAGCTTTTCTGAAGCTGGCTATATAGACCAGGCTACCCCTCAACTCTGCTTCTGACTCCCAAACACTGGGATGAAAGTTGTACAGCACCATGCCTGGCTCTCTACTGTGTTTTTTAACCTGAAGACTAGAATTTGAATTTTTAGCACCCACCGAGAGGCTGGGTGGGCATGGTGAATAATTTCAGGTTTTGGGGGATTCTAAGAGCAAGCTAGACAGGTAAACAGCCAAATCAGTAATAAAAGCTGAAAAGAGACTGAGGAAGCCAGCTATTGCTGTGACAAAACACCACGACCAAGGCAGCTTACAGAAGTTTACTGGGGCTTACACTCCCTGAGCGTGAGAGTCCATGACTATCCTGACAGAGAGTCTAGAAGCAGACAGTCAAGCATGGTGATAGAGCAGTAGCTGAGAGCTTACATACTTATCCAAAATGTAGGAGGCAGAGAGAGAGAAAGAGATAACTGAGAATGTCCTGGGATTTTGATACCTCAAAGCCCACCCTCAGGGACACACCTCCTCCTGCAAGGCCACACCTCCTAATCCTTCCCAAGCAGTTCTACCAACTGAGGACCAAGCATTTAAATATATGTGCCTGTGGGGGGGCATTCTCATTCAAACCACTATAATAGCCAATGTTAACTTCTGGCTCACACACACACATACACACAAATACAATGTACACAAATATACATGCAGAAGGGCTATTATTCCCTGGCCTGAGAATGTATAAGCCATATTTTATCCATTCATCTGCTGGTAGATTCTGCCATTGCCATCTACTGTTTGACAAGAATTCATTTATTTTGAAAACAGGGAAATATTTGCTAAGTCTATGAAAAAGAAATACACACTTAAAATAAAATAGAGACACAGTGAGTTTTAAACTAAAGTTATTAGACAGAGAGCACATCTGGGAGCTACTTTGAACATGCATGATAAGCCAGTTAACTGCTGTTATTATGAATTTATTTTCTTTTACCTTATGTGTAAGGGTGTTTTGCCTGTATGTGTGTAAGTGCAGCACATGAGGGCTGTGAATGAAAACTCCTGAAAAGAAGCTGTGTCTACAAACTGACTGACAGATTAGAATTTCAGTCCTGTGTAGATACTGGAGTGTTGTAAATCTGAAGGCTAGTTTCCTTATCTT